GGGCTTTTGACCTAGGGGGGGGGGGGCTTTTGGACTACACCCAAAAATCCGTACTTTGTCCCGCAATGGGAAAGAACCTGTTGCCGCAGAAGGGTTAATTCCAAAAATATAAAGCTTCAAAAGTAACTTTTTGTTAAAATGAGCATAGAATGTACACATGCTTTATTGGCATATGCATGATTACAGAAATGATTCATCACATGTGTGTGCAGAGGATTTGAGGTCAGTCAAATATTTTATCACTTTATGCCAGAGAGAACTATAATTACAGCATTGATGGAGAAGTGTATGTGTTCTAAAATGAAGTGTAAATAATTTGAAGAAGCGTAATGCTATAGTAATAAGCACACAGAACGATGCATGTCAATTTAAAAATGGTTCCTTTGTTGTTGTTGCTGCAAGCAAAGATCAATTAATAGACCTTACTGACCATTGAACAAATGGGAAAACCAAGCACAATAAATTGAGTAATTTTTTCAAAGAAAAGTATGTGAATAGGTACACTGAAAAAATAATTATGCAAGATTAAAAATCTTCATCAAGAGAATGTGCCAGAAGGACGGATTTTGTTTTACCAGTTTTCAGTGGGCCCATCACTGCAATCATAAGCCATTCCTGGGCCACATCCTTAGCCAGGGAAGTGGCTTTTCTGCACAGCTCTATTCTCCATAGGATCAAAATGAAAAAAAAATTAATCCATTAAACAAATAAAATTTTGAACCAGGAAATGTTGGAAATTATTTTTAATCTACATTTCCCTCCATGGAGGGAAATGAATTCTCACCATGGAGGGAAATGAATTTTCTCCATGGAGGGAAATCAACTGCACATAAGAAGTGTGCATTTTCAATACCGTATTTGAAGTCTGCTGAAAAATTTGCAAACACAAGGTTTTGCCCTCAATTTGACTTAAAGAAAAGTGTGGATTTCCGATTTTCAGCATTGCTACGTTTAGAGCATGCTCAATAAAGACCAGAAATCCTGCATAAAGATTTTTGATCTGGAATTGGATTTCCCTCCAGAAAGTGCGCTTTGCAGCTTCAATAGTTCAAGTTGGCTGAAAATTTTATCAAAATTAGTTTTTGACTCTTGACAGTGGGATTGCAGATTTTTGTCATTGCATCTGTATATTTACCAAAAATCGCAGAGTGGCAGCTTTTCAAGGATGTATCAGTCCCAATGGTCAGATTCTACAGGTACTTTACATATTATCAGTGTAAAGGGTGGGCCAAAAAAGTCAACCAAACTTTGACTTAAAATAGGGCAGTAGCAAATTTTGCTGTGACAAAGAAAAAATTCCAAATGAAAGCTTTTTCAATTCCCTTTTAATTGGCATCCAAGGGAATATTTTTGTTTGCTTTGCACTTCTCACCCCCACTTTCTAAATTTTGGGAATGTGTGCACCATCTTGAAAACAGCATGAAGTTTGTTGGTTAAAGTGCTGGTCCTGCACAAAATTTATATCCCTAAAAACAGCTCTGGAGAACAGTAGCTTATTAGTGGTACAGTATAGTATAGGACTATAGGAGTTGCCTCACAACCTTTTTGTTGCTGAAACTTTTCAATCACATGATTCTTGTGACCATGCTATGGCACTACCAGGGACCATAAAACTGCATACCATTTTAAAAGGAATTTAACAAGATTCCATTTGGTGTTTTTTTCATTTGCCACTGCTCAATTTGCTATCAAGCTATTGTAAGTCAAAAATTTGTTGTCTGATATTAAATAAACAACTTCAGATCAAATATCTATAAAAGATATATTTTATTCACAACCAAATTTGTTCAAGACAAATATAACAAAAACAGACAAGTCTTAAGAGAATCTTGTTAAACGTACACAAGGTTCTCTGAGAAGTAACCACGGTCGACACAGGATTAAATCTGAGGAAAATATTGTTCCTCAGCAATATATATACTTTTCAGGTATACAGGTCAACATCAAGGAATGCGGATCAACAACAAAGTATTCCGCATAATATTCATGAGGGGCGCGGACCTCATGAGGCAAAATATCTGCGAACATGATACACAACAATATTATATATATGCAAATCCGTTATATCGTATATACCTCTGAAATTCGTATTTCAGAGGTGCGGCGGCGCGGATATGTGCGCGGATAACATTCGTCACTGTCAAGAGTGAGGGGGAGTTTTATTAGTTAAAGAGGACAAAAGCGC